GTAAATAAAAGAAAACAAAATAGACTTACAAAGCACCTTTCTCACCTAAAATCTTTTTAAGATAATTCGCTTCTTCATAAATCCACATATATACCATTTCAAAATCAAAAGATGATATTGAACAAACAATTCAGGACAACAGTTTTTTTATAATATACAGCATTCCTCTGCCTAAAAACATTTTTAAACATAAGTTTTGCCTAATTATCTCCTATTTAAAATTATTTAGTAGAGTTTTATGAATTAAATTTATTTTATTCAAGAATGTATTATAAACAGAATAAACATTTAAGCTAAAAGGTTCAAACATTAATGATCACTGATTTAGATTAACACTATAAAGTAGAGTAAGTAATAATTGCTTTAGAGAAATACTAGAGTTTTATGTGACTGCTCATTATAATTTAAAATAATGCTACAGGGAATGTAATCTTGGTTTGCTAACTTTTCCCTAATTGAGTATGTGAATATGAATACCTAATAATGCAGCTCAAGTAAATAATAGTTTGCAATATTGGAGAATTTAATAGTTTAAAACAGCACATTCTATGGGCACATAATTCTTGTTTTATAATTATCGACATTATTTTGTACTAAGATCAAAACCTAGATAATTTTAGCTTTGATCATTGAAATTGGTTTTAAGATTCCATTGTTAAATTAGAAGATGCTTATAGGGAAATGTACCCAAATTATTCTTTATGAGAAAATAAGCAGGAGTAATCATGCAAATTTTGAGTAGGCAAGCTCCTTTGTCTTAGACTTATGACTCAAAATTTAATGATGAAATGCAGAAATAGAATCAACTGTGCAGGAAAGCCAAAACAAGGAAGATAAAGGTTCTCATATGAGTTGCTTATCAGAATGTCTTATTTAGTGATAAATAGCTTTTTTCTTACTACCTTCGGAACATTTAGTTTTTACTAAATGAATGCTTCATACTGTTGGTCACTGAAATGAAACATTATTAGTTATTCATTTCTTTTAATTTGAAACTTATGGGAGGCTGTACAAATAGAAAGATGGTTTTTTACGATATATAAAATACAGTTTTAAAAAAATTCTGTAGCCCCAATGACTATATTTGGTTTTAGTTATTTTTACCATATAATCACGATACCTGATGTACATTTCATTGCACGTAGTAATTTTTCGTTATGGGACTTTTCTTTGGAATAAATGATAGATGGTTAGTTAGAACTAGTGATATATCAGAATTTTAGAATAGTTTTAAAGAGATGAATTTATTGCTTACAACTACATTTATAATAAATGAGCTGTGTATGGGACGCTTTCCCTAATAAACTGTGTGTTCTTTAAGAAGGGTGATCCAGGGCATAACATCATATCTAGAAATAGAGGAAATGTTTAACAAATGTTTAGTCGAATGAGTGAATAATGAATAAACTAACGACAAAAATTCATTTCCTTTTACAAATACATAGAAACAGTTTTTAAATGGCACAAACTTCTTAAAGTATGTCTTCCACAACTTTACATTTTCATATTGCATTATACTTTTCAAAACTAAGTTCACACGTTACTGTGTTCATCATCAACCTCCTGATGAACTGCAGTGTTGAAAAGGCCTTATTATTTTTATTTTGCACATAAGGAAACTAAAGCAGTGAGAAGCAAAGTGACTTGTTGATGATAAACCAGTTATGTCACAGCTAGAATCCATGTCTTTTAACTTATTTCACCATGACATTTTTTTCTATTCATAAACACACTTTACTAGAGTTAAGCCTGTCGCAAGACTCTATTGTTTTGATTCTACTGTCCACTGCTTTGTATATTTTCTGAACCATTTTATATACTACTTTCTATTCTAAATCCCTATATGTGCTTCTAATTATAAACTATGCAGAAAGTAAAAGAGAACAATTTCCTGTGTCGTCTCTGCTGTAACATCACGGAAGTGTACTTTTGAGATGAATTTAAAAATCTGGAGGTTTCCACTTCAGGCAGTATGGCAGATTCAATGTCCTGGTAGAAAAGGAGGCTGTGCTTTGTGGCAGGCCGGAGAGAAAGCCTAGGGCCCAAGCCAAATGTGTGTGTGTGTGTGCACACGCGTGTGCTACGGGAGTTGAGGGTTTGCAGCAGCTTAGGATGGAGGGTGTCTGGGCACCAGGGGAAGGACAAGTAGGGGTAGTTTTAGGGTTGGCTTTGGCTTTTCCCTCAAATTAATTGTCCCACCAACACAGTTTCCTGGGTAAATAGATGATTAAAACATGATGAGTACACATTATGGTACACTATGCAGCAGTTAGAAGAATAGATTAAATATACATAAAGCAATATGGATATATTTTTTAAAACATTGAGCTTCGTAAGAAAATTAAGAAGGATCTGACTTATAGAAAATACATTTATGTAAATTAAAAACATCTACCCAAGATGATAATATATGTTTTATAAAAAGATAAACAGCAAACACTTAAGAATGTTTGCCTATGATGGGGAGGAGTATGATGGTAGAGGTTAGGGATAAAATAGAATAAGTAAATAAAGTCAGAGGGGCTTTGTTTGGACCAACTCTAATTGTGTACCATGAACTGAGGGGTATAAGGAATATGATGACTCAATCTTATGAACCTGAGGTTAAAATGAAAAGAAGGAAAAAACAAATTCAATGGATGAGTTAAAGAGCAGATTAGATACAATGTATAGGGAAAAAACTAGAAGAGATATCTAAAGAAATTACTTAGAATGTAAACTAGAAATACAGAATAAGGGGAGAAAAGGTCGAACAACGTGTGGTTCAGAGTGAGAGGATCTAACACAGAGTCTAAGAGAGGTAATATTCAAAAGAGATAATGGCTGAGAATATCTTGATAAAAGACACACATTCTCAGACTCAAGAAGCACAAGCAAGGCAAATAGAAAGAAACTAAGCACAGTGAAGACAAAGAGAACATATTAAAGCTATCAGAGAGATGAGGCAGACTACCTACTGAATAATTAAACTGATAAGGCTACCCTCTTGACGACAACGATGGAAACCTTAGGAACATGCAATATCTTCAAACTGCTGAAGAAATAACTCTCGACCCAGATGTGTGCACCTAGTGATATGTTTCCAGATCGAGGGCAAAAATAAAAACATCTTCGATCAAACAAAAGTAGAGGTTAGACCAGTAGATATTCACTAAGAAACATTTGCTTAGAGCATGTACTTCAGGAAGAAGAAAAATAAATGCTAGAAGATTAAGTATGGTGAGTATTTTATAATGTTATTTCAAAAATAATTTCTTTTTTTTTAAAAAATAGCACATTACTGAAATACTAAAAGTTCTACTTAATACAGCACAAATTACCCAATTTTATTACCTGCTTTGCCTGTTTATACAAAGCATCATCATTTATGTCAGATGCGAGACAACCCCTTGATAATCTGATATTAGAAATCTTTGAATCATGGACACAATGCTGCATTGCGACATATGGAAATTATACTCCATTACAAATGTTGTACATTCAAAGTAAAACAAATAAACTCCAAGTCCAAAAGGTGAGGTGTCAAAAACAAATACTGCTATCTAGTTTTTCAGTTTATATAAACAGAAGCATTTAGGAAAGACTTAATTGCAATACTGGCATAAACCTTATAGTTTACGCTAAAGCCAAATGCTATAATCAACCTTGGAATGATTTCAACATTTGTTTCCACAGTGAACCTAATACTAAAGTCTAGGGCAACTGCTGAATATATAATAGGTTTTGTGTGTTCTTATACATTCAATCTTATCAGAGTCTAACTTGAATATAAACAGTTGTACAGAACAAGAAATTTTGTTCTATCGAGTCATGGTATACAAAGTAATAAAGAGCATTTATGGATGATTAAATATTGAAGTGAAGTTGAAGTATTTAATCTACTGCAAAACTCATTTAATGCAAACACACCTGGCAATATAGATATTATTGATATTATATGTGAAGGGAACATTTTCATCCAGTTTCTCTCATGGAAATTTAATTTCTTTCTTCTCTGAGAATTTGTAGTTGTGAGACTGAGTCCATTTCCAGCACAAATTTCCAGTAATACATGAAGTGTGTATGTACATATTAGAGAAGAATTCGAGTGACTTTTAAAAATCCCACAGTCTCAAATCTATTACCATCTGTTTTCTATGACAGGTGAAATGCATAATAGGTAGAAACTTAAAAACCCTATTTTAAGTTTATTATGTTGATTTTGACGTCCATTTTCATGCCACCATTCTGTTTTATTTTCTGATGGGTTTTATGACCAAGTGCAAACTAGACTGATCTCAGAACAAATAAAAATGGGCACTTTTTAAACAAACAAAGCAAAGCTATTACATTTGCAGAAATTAAAAACAAATAGATGAATTGAAAACATTTAGGTTAATTTTGATAGATTTCTTTTCTTTTAGTTTCTTTAAGATCTGACTTTGTACCTAAATAAAACATCGGAATTTGGGTACTGAATACCAAACAAGAAGCGGCTATAGTCTAGTTGTATAAGTTTATCGTCCATTATTTCTAAATCAAAATAAGTTAAAAGTATAACCAACAGTTGCTTTATTTCATTAACTGCCAAAAATCGGCCTGGGCATTTGCTGGTTCCAAATCCAAATGGCAGTAAATAATACCTCAGCTTCTTCCCTCTTTTGAAGAAGGTGGTTTTCTTCTTACCATTTTCTGTAAAACGGTCAAATCTAAACTCCTGTGAAGAAGAAATAGAGAGGGTTAAAATAAGAAATTTACATGAAATAGTTTGAGTTCAGATCCACAAAGTTGCCAGCTCCTACCTGCCTGTCTTCAAAGGCTCCTACAATAATCCAGCAAACACCAGAAAGTAAAACTTGACAAAGTGCAAATCATGAATGAACTTTCGAAAAACTCCAACGCTACTAAGAAATTACTTCTTCCATATCAGAGTGAAATCCAAACACCTATATACTTCTTTCCAATTCACATTTCTCTCCTATGCTGAGGTCTCCTGCACTGTCACCATTGTTACTGTGAATGATGAACGGGAGCTGCCTGAAGATCTCTGATATACTTTTCTTCTGTTCCTTCCCAGCTACTGATGGATGAGAACTTTGAGCTTAGAACGCAATGCTTATTTAACCCAATGCAATTTGGATTAAATAGATATAAGATAATAAGATTCCCATAATCGGTCTTGCTTGTTTTTTGATATTGTACTGAATTTCTCCTATGACGGTTCTACTAGAATAACTCTCTTTGGGTTAGCTCTAGGGTGGCAGGTGTTCCTGATATGTTTTCATCAATGAGTTATAGTATTTGTTACAGAAAATGATGGGACTGGTTCATCTAGGGTATTTGGCCCACCATCTTAATTTACTCCCTTGAGTTTCCAAGAGGAGACTGAGCAACCTTATCTCAGCCCATGGTGGATTATGCCATTGATTAAATTAATACACGTGGCATGCATGAAAATGACCAAATATTTCCTGTACTTGGTGCTCGTTAGAATTAGACCTGCTCGCCACACAAGTTTGCTAGGGACTCCATGAAGTCAAAGACAAAGAAGCAGTTCAGATCAAAAGCATCTCAAGTTATAGAGAAGAGCCTACAATATGGGGATAGATTGTGAATCTATCACAAATGATCTGTTTTTCTCACTCAAAATGCCAGTGTTAATGTCAGAGAAATTATTCTCTTTAAAACTACTGAGTTTATCTTCATTTACCTAGGATACTTATTCTGATAAATATTCACACTTATAGAACACACTTTGGGTGGCTTCTGTGCCCCCTGACTTGCAAGTGGGTGCAATCATAACGGCAAAGTTAATATGCATTAGAACATAAGCATATTTTTCAGCAGACAGTTCTGGGATGTAGCTGAAGGATCTAAGCAGTGTGGAATGAAATGCACCTGTCCATCTCTGTAGTCATGAATGAGGGCACTCTTTCTTGATGTACAGTTTGTTACTGGGGACAGAGTTACTACATGAAAAAAAAAGTCTGTCCATCAACGTGGCTCCGGACGACTTGCCTGACTACAGAATCTTTGCTTCCTCCTTCTTACTGACTAATTTTAGGAGACCAGTGCCCTCCCCACAAGCTTCTGGCCTAGGCCAAATCAGTTTAAGTCAATTTTGCCATGAAATGATTTGTTAAGTGGTCCCACTGGAGCCCCATTGTTTAAGCCGAAAAATAAAAAAGATAAATTTAGCTTGACTGTGACTTCATAATGCCCCAGTTTCATAAATAAGCCAGAAACTGTCATGGCTTTCCTGATCTTCTTCATGAAAGAGAACACGCTGCCCTCTGAGAGGCCAGCGGGACACACACACAATGCTCCCAACCCCTGCGACCTTCAGTTAGTGCTTACCTTCCGTTCACTTAAATTTCTAGTCAATCAGTAATGCCTCTCCTCTAGTTTTCCATTACATTCTATTCAGTTTCCCCATAATAAACATCTTAGAACTTCTTATTTAGTTGGTTATAGCATGAAACAAGAAAAAACCAATTCTTTTGCTCTATGACTATCACCAAGGTCAAAGGGCACATAGGCATAAATATATTTTTGAGTAGAAATTTATTTTTAGTTTGTTTTCCATTTCCAGGGCCTGGAGAACCAGAGCAGGAGCCAACATTAGGAAAGGCTTCTGGCAGCTGGTAGGGATATCGTCTGGTTTTAGCCCAAAAGAGAAGGGGCATAACAGTCACACCCCTAAGATTTTGGGGACACGGCGATATAGAACAAAGGGTTAGGAAGCTCAAGAAGCAAAGTTCATTTGGAACAAGTTAAAAACAGGATTCATCATATCAACTTAAACTCTTTGCAGTAACCATAATAGCTCAGTGCTTCATAATTAAAGAGGGTCGATTAAACACAATATCATTAAGTGGATGAGAACAGAGAAACAGCAAGAGAAAGAATGAGACACTGAAATTCCCCACTGCTCCTCTAACGATTGTTGTAGTTGACTCCTCGACATCTTTCTTCTGTGTAAGATTTGTCCAGGCTCCAATCGTGGTAATCACATCCCTCTGGCCTCTGATTTAGGTCGAGGTGTGTGAACCAATCTCATCCATGCTATGGGGGAAAAGTCTGTGGGACATCTGGGAGTTCCCTTCTTGTGAAGGAAGAAAAACAAACAGCAAAAAAGGTCCGTCACCCTTTCTCCTCTGGACCTAGTTATATGTGGGTATGATGCCAGCCACTGCCACTGCTTCACTGCCACCAGGCTGAAGACAGAGCTAACCCACAGGAGATGGCAGAGCCAAGAAATCCCAGGAGACTGGAGTCACACTGTCTTATTTATCTCTATTTTTAAAGCACCCAACAAAGTGCTATGCACATAGTAGAGGTTCCATATATGTTTGTCGAATTAATGAATAAATACATGACAATAAAGTATATTTTAAAAGCAATCTTCAAGCTTTTGAAGAAAACAGAAATATTGAATGAGTAAATAAACATGTAGAGAATGAAGAGTAGATGAATATTCAGTGTTTACAAAGGAAAAGTGGTATAATATTTAGCACTAGACATCAAGACTGGATAGATGACTCAATTTTATGGATGGAGAAGAATTTTTGGTATAAGTGACGAGGAACATTGTATAACACCCTAATTTGTGTTCTCCAAATATTATGTTTAGTTCCGTTCAACAGATTTTTTTTTTTTAAAAAGTAGTTTCTGAATGCAAAAAGGCATAAAACATGGTCTTGCTGAGGTAGGTGACATCCACTATGATCAGGTCTCGTATTTATTTGATTCATCATTTGAGTATAGGAATCTAGATTTGACAAAAGATATGACTTCCTCGAAATAAAAACTGTCACTGTTTTACATGGATGACTGAGGGCTGCACTGCTGCCCCTGGTTTACAGTCAGTCTTCCTGGGAGCAAGATGACAGATGACAGAAATTCCTTTTTATCTCCATGACTTGGGTTCTAGGCAGTGGTGTGCTGTAGCCAGCTTGTACTAGCTCATTTCTTCTCAGTTCTGTGTTAGGAATCTTCATGTTGGTAACATGGGATCAGCCAGGGTGGGAGTATTTATACCATGAAAACTGATAAAACCAAGGTTTTTTCAGAGTGCTGGTTTACCAGCTGGTTCCACCATAGCTGGTATGACGTGCCAGTTTACTGGTATGGCAGAAACCCTCTCAACATGAAGCATCTGGATATGAGAATGAAGCCATGTGATAAGGCTGAGCCTCTAAACTATAAACTCTTAAGGATAGAAGTCTTTTTTATTTGTGTCACTGGTCATGACCATCAGCATGCTTTCTGAATAGAAGATGCTCAGTATACATTAGTTTCTTTGACGTATACTGGGGGCACAATCTCTATTCCAGGTTGAGATACAGACAAAAATTTATTATTCCGAATATTTCTTCATTTGTCATGACTAAAATAGTTTAAGAACAGTGACAATAACCAAAATAATACCAATACGGCAATCTTTATAGTGATTTAGAATTTTTTCAAGGGCTTTCAAAGTCATCTATCACTTTATTAATCCCTACACTTCCAAAAGGTAGATAGGGCAGATTTGCATGAGGTCAAGTAAAACTTTTCGAGTTCAGAGCTTTAGGGGGTACTTCATGGCTTTGTAATTTCTTTGTTATTTCACCGTGTTCTTACTCTAGGAGGCTACATGGTCGTGATAATGTGTTACTAACTTAAACATTTGTTGTTTCTTCCATATGGACTTCCCCAGGCCTCCTTTTATATCTTAGCACCTCTGGCCATAGGGAAAACACCCAATAGATTTTGTTCTTTCTATAGCTCCAGTTGTACATTTTGACCAAAAAAAAAAAAAAAAAACATTGTCATCATTTACTGATTCTTTGAGACCCAGGGCTTAAATTCTGGTTGGTAATAAACATAAATTTGAGAAACTTTTCAGAAAATTTTGAAAAGCTTCTCATTCCTTGCTAATTTATCTAGACTTTCTTGGGTAGCATTTAGATTGATAGAGAAGAAGAAAGAATTGGAAAGTGGTATTTCCTTCACTCTCTCTCATGGTTTACTTTTTACTTGCCGATTTGTTTTCCCACATGGGCAAGAGCCACCGGACTGGCTACATTACAATAAACTAAGCAGACAATATTCAGGAAAATAATTCTTAACACAGAGGTTACATGTTGGCAGCTGACAGACCCACTTAGGTCCCTGAACACTTTGTTTAGCCCACGTTGTGTTTTAAACTTTACTTTTCCAAATATTTAAACATTTTAAGTATTATTCAGAAATCCGTTTTTTGAGTTAAAAAAAAAAATGACTTGGCCGTACCAGGTCTACATGCTTGTAAGAGCTGAGGGTTAGTTCGGAAGTAGCCAAATGGGCTCATTTAGCGGCCTCCTGGGCTCTCCCTTTGCCATAGTTCTCACCACTCCTGATAGAATTGCTGTATTTACACACAAGCCACTTCATCTATTTGATCTAGTTAGGCCCAGAGCATATTTGAACATGCAATAGCCGTGTTGATTTAAATTTCATCTGGAGTGTGTTTTCATTTTCAGTACAGTAATCCACCCAGCACCCCACTTATGTATCGACCTTCTATGGACACCCTCCCGTGTGCTCGGTAGGCACTAAGAAGGCAGAGAAGACAGTGACAGGACCGTTTTCCTTCCGGAGCTTATAGCAAATGGGAGCACAGACAAGTCAACAAGTAATTGCAAAATACTGTTGTGCACCATAATAAAATGAGTAAAAGGTACACACAGGCCACAGAGTGGGCAACGGCAAGTTCTGAGGAATAAGGTGGGAATCGGGGACACTGTGAAGGAAGAGGTGATTACGAGTGATTCTTGTGGAGTAATCTGGAGCCACCTGAGTGGACAAGCAGGGAGGAAATTCAGGAATAGAGACATGTATGAAGGAAGACCATGTCCTTTTTCAGAAATGTAATATTCTAGAGTCTCTTAGTCTTGAATGTCCTGACACTATGCCTCGTTGGGTTGAAAGAATCTATGCTAAGAATCTCTTCAGGCTCTGTGTTCCAAGAATTACTACACTTTTATCTGGAGTTAGTCTTTCCTCACAATTTTGATCCAAGAGCTATTGCTTGTTTTCTATATCTAAGGCCTGGCCTTCCCTTTCAAGATCCACAGTGTACAAAAGACAGGAAGTAGGGAATATAAACCTCTGATGAGCTCCTGGGCCAGTGCTCTTAGCGACAAATGGCCAAGGACAGAATTCTCTTCTTTACTGTCAGTGCATGGTTGTGTTTGGATGGGCATCTGTCATATGAACATCTATAACACATTATTGCCCTAAGTTAAGAACAAAAGGAATTAATCTACATGCCTGATAGTGGGCAATGCTCAGTAAATGTTCATAGAATGAAGGATTACATAAGACCTTGCCAAATCAGGTAAAAATGGTTCCAAACTATAATTAACATTCCTCAACTAATTTCACAAAAAAACAGTACCCTGGCAAAAAAAATTAGCTAGTTAATTTTACCATTAGTCAGGCATAACTGGCTAACGTTGGGCCTAGTAAATAATAGAGAGTGCTCGTCAACTTAAGTGAGAGCCACCCTAGTGATGCTAAGTCAGTATTCACAATATCGCGATTCTGTTCTTCCACAGATTTAGTACGAGGCAAACCTGTCTAATTATTCTTAAGACCGGTCGATTTATTACGTAAAGTTTGGGCATTGCTATTTAGTATTCTACAGAAATACTGGAATGCAGATATAAATCAGCATGCTTTCAACATTTAACTTTGGTTTTTAAATTCCTAAAAGCCTAACTCATGGTCTTTTCCATCATGGGGACAGGGGCAAGGGTGGAGGGCAGGAGGAGGCCAAAGGACAGTACCATAAAAATAGAGGTAATCTGGCAAACATTTATTGTGTATTTGTTGATAACTTTAATGTTAATTTTACTATTGTGACATGAAAAAGAGACTACTGGAATAATAACATAATGAAAAGCAAATTAAAAATTGTAGCTAGAAGCAAAACTATTCAAAAATTAAGAAATATTTTTCAAATATCAGTTATTTATTTGCTCTTTTTTATTGACTATTGAATTCCGTGTAAAAATTTTGATATTTACAAATAAGGAAATAAAGCTTAACTGAAAAATGTTCACTTATTAATATGCTAGTTCCAACTTGCCATCATCATTCATTTAATGCCTCTTCTTCTGAAACACACAGAAACCACAGGGATGTTTTCCTCTCCTCTAAAAAATTTTGCCCTGCTGGATGAAGTCAATACAGATCATCTCATTGTATTGAAAGTCTGTCCTCTTCTCATTAGTTTCCAAAATTCAACAATACTTTAATCCAGCCTGGCTGTAAGACATCTCACTCAGAAACTGGTGAGTTCTGGCTTTTGAGCTGCTCAAAAAGAGCATGCGAATTTCCCTTTGAAAAAAATAAAATAGCATTTTATATACAAAAACCACTGCAGCAACAGCATGACTTCACAAGAAGCACAGGCAGAACAGGACTGCATTCAATTTGCATGCAGGTGGTGAACCTCTGAAGTGGTGTTAAGGGATGAGCCAGAGTGGATTAATTTCCAGTCTTTGATATTCATTAACTCCAGCTTTGGAAAAAAAATACAAGGAGATGACACAATTACCCTCAGAGCTTCACCCGTGAGCAGTGGCTTTACAATCACAAGTTCATAATGCCATCCTATTTGGTCAGGAAGGGGCACCTGCCTTTAGCAAGAGGTGAAAAAGTACATGGCCTTAGCTATGGCCATGATGGTATTCGACTTCAGGAAATCAACCCAATTCTGGCAATACTTAGCAAAACATTCATCATTATTTATTCTCTAAGCTGCCTGTCAATAGCTTACCCTTTATGAAACCTAATTTTGGCCTAAAGATAAAGGCCAAGGTACAATGTCCATTGCATTTGAAGAAACTGGCATTGAGTCCCCTCACTGTATTTCTATGTATAGGCCACACGAAATTTGAAAGAGAGATCCTTAGGAAACACTTCGATAAATAGGAAATTTTTCCCATTGGAAGGAAAAACAAAAGCCATCAAGCTGTCTCAAATCCCATCTGGAACAAGGCAGCAAAAGGAAGAGATAGAAAAAGATCATGAGGAAGAACAATGTGCTTGCAGTCTCTGAGAAGTAGCAGTGACCAGCCTGATGTTTGTTTACCTCTGGAGCTTCAAAGATTTCCGGGTCATAGTGCAAGAATGGAGGAAAGATGGCTATGAAGTCTCCCTTTCGTAGACGGTAGTCCCCAGTCTCTGAAGGTAGAGTCAAATCCTCTTGAACGAAACGAATGATGCTCGAAAATGAGCAGAGTCGTAAAGCCTCGAGAATGGTGCTTTCTGAAGGAGACAAGCAAGCAACAGCTTTTTAAGATATGACTGGTCCTGAGAAGTGCCCAAAATTTGCCATTAAAGCTCATCACCAATAGCTCTGATTGAAAAGGAAACCCATTCCTAATCAGATCCGCCGAGCGCAGAGCTGGAGCCCATGGTGGCTTTGCATGGCCAGAGTGAGGAGGGACAGGGTGAGACAGCCGTGGTCTGGTCTAAGCCCCGCTTGGGGGCATTTTGCAGACAGAAGGCAACAGTGCTGTGCTCGGGCAGAAAGTCATTAATTAGGATTTTTGTAGGAAGAAATGGTTGGCAGGAGAGGAATGCTGTGTTATTGGTTTACCCACTGTAAATTAAAACCATACCCCAGTTAAAGTCCCCTGTTGGTGGGTTACGTCACCAACCTCCAGAAGAGCTATGCCTTTAAAGCCAGTCTTAGGTATTTAATAAGCACTTAGGCAGGTAATAGTAAAGTAATTATAGTAATGCTTGCTGAGATGGCTCAACACCTAATTTCTTTTATGCTAGCTGTAAATAAAATGTGAGTCAGCATTGGCTGGAAAAAATTCAAAGGAAAAATACTTTTACAAGATTCAGAAAAACACCTTCTTTCTCTCAGCATCCAGTGAAAATAACAGCCACCATCATAACCTGGAAGATTCCAGAAGCGGAATGTCCTTGCTTTCCCAGTGGCCTTCACCTTTTGCTCCTAGCCCGACAGATTTTATGGCTAATTTCCGGCAATTTATCCTGGCAGTTTGAGGAGGAATTCCTTTGGGAATAATATGCATAATTTGCATAAATCATTCTGATAGCATGCATATCAGCATGTAGCTCCTGTCTAGGTCTGCATCCCTGCCTTCATAATCAAAACTGACTATGTTTTCACCAGCGTGAATGGGTCCTAGGATATAAAGCTTGATTCCTTCTAATCAGCAATGTGAAAAAGAGCTCCAAATTGAGTGTTTCTCTCCCTTTACATGGTAACAAATGGTTGTGTTTATGACTTGCAATGTAGAATCACACGCGAGCGCACACACGCGCGCACACACACACACACAATGGCCCAGTTTCCTAGTTTTCAGCAAAGCTCTGATACACGCGAGCGCACACACGCGCGCGCGTGCACACACACACACACACACACAAAATGGCCCAGTTTCCTAGTTTTCAGCAAAGCTCTGAAACATAGGTACCGAATTATTACATTACAGAGTCAGACTGGTCAGGGAGGGCTTGCGCCAGCCAAAAAATAAAAATCAATGCTATTTCACTAAAATGTAAATCTCTGCCCAGCTTGCATAGAGATATCAAGAAGCTTTGGGTGGCTTCTCCCAGGAGGTTTTTCCCTAAGCATGCATTTGTCGAAAGAAATGAGGCTGCGGTCAGCTCTGTGTGGCCAGTGTGGTGATCCGATGTGACGTACAGTGAAGCTGTGCATATTCTTTTGGACTGCCTTCGTTATTATAATCAGGCAGAGTCAAATCGGTTTGTTCGTGATGAGGCCAGAAAAGAACTTTGGTTTTGGAACATGGACTCTACTGCGGATAGCCACAAGGCACCTGACGCGATGGATTTTAGCTGGCAGGACACCAGTGACCAACATTTCTATGGCGAAAAGCAAGGGTCGTCCTCCCCTGGACTGCTGCTGGCTCTGTTGGGTCAACAACAGTACAGCATCATTTTAGCTTGTGGTGTGAAATGGTAGCTGACATATGTAGCAGTGCTGTTCAGACAACAAGTCCAGGAGGGGTGTGGGAAGAAGAAATACAAAAGCAAAATAATTGTGGGGTGGCTGCTGTGACAAGGCAGGCATTTAACAGTCCAAATAACGTGGTCATATCCGATTGGCTGACGTGCTCACGGGAAGCATGGCAGCTTGCGCCCACTGCAGTATCACAAATGACAATTGGGCAAGCATATCTTATGCAGAAGTTAATCACAATAATGGAGCACAAAGTGTGGCTTAGCGGTCAGATCGTAAATGACAAATCTGTTTTACCTTCCAGTACCAGTAATGTGTGCAAGACGACGTTGGCTCTCGCTCTGAGCGATCATGCCGATAATCACTAGATGACAAAAGTAATGAGTTGCATTATTATTAACAATGAAGAGTGGGGCTTCTGTGGCTCTGTGTTGCCACAAACACACAAAAGCCAACAGCTTTTCCACCAGCCCCGAAGAACGCAGGCAGAGCTATATGTTGAGAAGAATGACAACTGCACAATAAAAAAACTGCAGCCTCTACTTGTAGTTGTCATAGTTGAGCAGACACCAGCCAGTGCCACTGACAGACCAGCTGGGCCCTGGGAGGGCTTCCATGCTGCACCAGGAGGTACAGTAAATTATCCTGCACGGTAGAGCAACATCTGTTTCTGTGCTAGTGCCGAACAAACAAGGCAATTTAAAACATACCAAGGGATAACCAAGCAACAATTGAACATGACCCTCATTTTCTCCCTCTTCTCACACATGAGGTGCTAAACTTCATTGTGCAAACACTCCACCAAAGAGAGGCCGGGTTAGTATTTGAGAAGGTGTTGTCAGAGAGATTTTACATATTTCCAAAAGAGAAAGGAAAAGCTTATAGTATTGTTATTCTTAGAATCTTCCTCCCCCCTTCTATCTTTATTTCTTTTATGCCAAAGCTAGCACTCAGTTCTCAATTTGCTCTAGAATTAAAAAAAAAAAAAACTTTCCATACACTTATAAATATTCAGTCTTTAAACCTAATTTGCTATACTTAGTTCACATGCCTTCAAGCATTTGTCTTCCAATTTCCACTGAATAAATGCGTACTAATGAGAACTAGAGCAAGCTGCTGAGGCAAAGCTGGGTGACTTGGGTCTGGCCTGCCACCAGCTTGTGATAGGCGGGCAAATTGAGTTAAAATGAAAAGTCTTGTCAGCTGAAATTCAACATGGTAGCCAAACAGCAAGCTGTCAATCATTCCAGCCAAAACAAGGGACTGCAGGTAATAAAAGGTCGTTGCGATCATTACTGAGCTTGGCTTTCATGTGCAAGTTAATTTTAATTAAACATGATCTCTATCTGTAAATGTTTTATAAAACTTATTGTGCATAATAGATTGTTAATTTATACTAACATTTAGCAGGTAATAAGACCCTCTACTTATTAAACGCATTGTAGAAAAATGGCTATCAAGAATGCAAATATTTGGGGGATAATTTGTACCAGGCACTGCAAGGCACCAACAACTGCAATGGTGATTTGAGATAAGGCTGCCTGTGTTTTATTAAGAATCGAGGTTTGCTGACCGGTGTACACCAGGAAAGTGGATTACTGAAGTTCCATACCTGGCCTACACATCAGAGCCTGCACTACCTTCTTCACCTGGCTGGGGAAGATTTGTTTCTCTTTGGGATATAAAAATATTCTGATTCACTATTCGTTGTAAGCAAAAAGCTAGGGAATCTGTTGAGCTAAGATGCTTTACAATGTAACTGTGAAGGGAAAGGGCAAATGGAAGGAAATGCTGATAGAAAAAGGCGTGTATGTTTTGTTTTTTGCCCTCAGATGTCGATTCTAGCTGTAATAATTGACAGATGATTCTCATTTGCAGATTTAAGGCACCGAAGCAGGGTAGGACTATCAAGAATGCACGTTACAATGCAAACACAAATAAGCACATCCAAGTTTCTCCCTCGCGCTGAGGCCACGTCTGTGTATGTGGAATGAATGTACTGTGACATGGCCAGGCTGTTAATTTGGATCATCGTAATGATTGGTGCAGACTGTCATACTATCTGATTAGCCATGGTGATCAGTGGATGGCAGCTATGGCTGGAGCGAAATGAACAGCCAAGCCCTGCCACAGTCTTCTGGGGCCGAACGCTTGGGCGGTCTCAGAAAGAAGGTGGATGAGAAAGGGGAGTAGGGGGACCTGGAGCCAGTGTGCTCTAGAGGATGTGAGGAAGTAAAGCCAGGGTCTAGATGCGTGTGCGTTTTTATGTAACTGCCTTCAAGACAGGTGAGAAAGTAAATCTGAAATTGTAATCATCAGATAATTGGAAGTAAAAGAACAAATTTTTGGCTAGACAGTTGTATATTTTAAGTAAAGTTAAAAATAAACCTGAATTGGTACGAATGCCTACTTTCATTCCGCACTGCAGACATGGCCTTTGGTTTACTGCTAAAATAGAGAAATATAAATTCAACATTCATATAGTCCATAAACATTTATTCAGGTACTACCCTGCTCAGGGCACTGGGCCACTGCTCTTTGTGGAAAAAGGAAACACAGCATATGGATTTGGCCTTCATGGACACTGCAATGTATGTAGGTAGTTCAAAGTTGAAAGGTACATATAAACAGGAATGCTCTCAAAGACCTTGGTGAAGATACCACACAATTTCTGACGCCATAACTCCAATGGCGGCGGTCACTACATTTAAGTGGAGTTATTTTTTCTGTTCTGAGCTGAAATTTTCCTCCCTTAAACTTCCACCCTTTAGAAAACACGAAGACAAAAAAAAAAACTTCTAATTCCTCTTCCATGTGACAGCTCTTTAAAAATATTTAAAGACGACTATCATGCCATTTTTAAGCTGCATGTCAGAGGAGATATGGCCTTCAGTCTCCTGACATCCTGAATGAATTCAATTAGTCACTGAGCCTCTAAAACGTGGCAGAACTGGGTGTGCTACTTCAGTTGGAAAAGTAGAGAGGAACTACTTTCTCTGCCCTCGCTACCATATGTCTATTAACGTTTTGTTGGAAGAAAATGAGCAACAAATTTTTGAAATACTAACATCACTGACGTGTCTTAAGCTTTCTGATATCCCAGAGATTATTATCAGCACTGCTGGCTGCCCATTAGAATCACCGGAAATGGTTAAAAAGTAATAATAATAAATGCTCTATCCCAGATCAGTGGAATCAGAACCAGCACATTAACTAACACCTTTAACTTAGTGGGTGTAAACCTTGCACATTACAATCATCCAGGGAACTTTTCAAGCCATCGGCCTGCACTTCAGACCAATGA